GCAGCAGGCGAATAAACAGCAGTTTTATTATTAAGACGAGGAATAGAATAATTAACATGGCAAATATCAGCCTTTTATACGGCACGATACGGGCGGTATGGATCGGTGATCGGTAAGTGACCCAAGATCTGACGATCACCTACAGAGTCCCTGATAGACTAGCCAGATCAAAATGCAAGTTCACCGATCCAACACCTCCCCCCTAAGATAGACACAAGAGGTGTATGTCTTCTTCTTCGGATTGATTTGCAGTCGAACCGGGGGACGTCTTGTCCGCGTTTGTCGAGTCGTTGAGGGTGGCTCGTCGTCACATTGTCCCGGCGGTTGCTCCTCGGTCGATTCACCATTGTGGTCCACTACAGGCGTCTCAGCGGCTAGACATGGGAGCAGTGGCAAATCGAATTGATCCGTGAGCGTTGTGCTATCGGTTGGGCACTGGCATGGGCGCAGCTGATTCGCTTGGCGTCTCCAGAGTTGGCCATCAACCTGAACATCATAGAGACATTGTCCATGACGAAATCTTACCCTTCCTTGGCTCCATTTTGGGTGTCCAGCGCGGTAATCACGGGTCCACACCAGATCATTCGGCTCGAATGTCCTTGGGCGAGCTCCGTGATGGTGATTGAATTGAGCTTCCATCTTCCGATTCCTTTGAGGCTCCACAATTTCCGGCGATGGCTTCAGCAGTAGTGTGAGCGTCGATCGCAGACGTCTCCCAAGGAATACTTCGGCTGGTGACTTTCCTGACAGCGTAGGGCATGGCGTCCGGCGGTAGGTGAGCAGGAATTTTTGCAGGGCATCCTGAGTGGTTCCCTCCCCTCTGAGTTTCTGAAGTGTCCGTTTGAACGTGTCTACAAAACGTTCCGCCTGGCCGTTCGATTGAGGGTGGAATGGCGGCGAGAAACGGTGCTTGATTCCATTCAGAGTACAAAAATCGTTGAATTCCTTCGACGCAAAATTGCGTCCCGTTGTCCGGTTACGAGCGTTTCCGGGTAGCCAAACTGAGAGAATATTCGACTAAATTCCTTGATTGTTGCAGTGGACGTTGTGGATGACATCTCCATAATTTCTGGCCACTTAGAGTAGGAGTCACTATCACTAAATACATTCGTCCATCGATTGGGCCGGCAAAAGTCGGCATGAATACGGGACCACGGCTTTTCTTCAGCTGGCCACGAGCAGAGCGAATTCTTGATTGGGTTTTTGGCGTTTTCCTGGCAACGTACACAGGATTTCACCTTGTTCTCGATATCCTTGTCGATGTGAGTCCAGTAGCAATAATCCCTGGCTAGCATCTTCATCCTTGAAATTCCGGGATGACCATCATGAAGGTCTGCGAGAACAGCGGCTTGTAGACATTTCGGAATGACGATGCGGTCTCCAAATATCAGGCATCCTCGGTGCGTTGTGAGACTGTTGCGCATCGAATTGAAACGGAGTAGGCAATCCTCCGGTTTCCTCGGCCATTTTCCGGCTTGGACACATCGAAGAACTTCCTTTAGTTGAGGATCTTTGAGCGTTTCTTCGGCAACAGTGTCCGCTGTGACTGGCAGTTTGGTAGACGCATCTGTAAATAAGCTCATTGCATCGACATTGATTTCGGCTATGACGGCATCTTCCTGTGGAGTCGGCTGGTCGGCAATTAAGCGCGAAAGTGCATCAGCCTGACCGAAATTGCTGGTGGTCCGGTACTCAATCGTGAAGTTGTAGTTCATCATTATCAGAGACCACCGCTGCAGTCGATTCGCCGTGTAGACTGGAATACCCTTCTTGCTGCCGTAGATGGCAAGAAGCGGTTTGTGATCCGTCAGTAGTTTGAAATGACGTCCGTGGAGGTAGCGGTGGAATTTTCGCACTGCGAAGACCAGGGCGAGTCCTTCTTTCTCCACCTGTCCGTAGTTTTTCTCGGCTGCCGTTAAGGTGCGACATGCGTGGTAAATCGGCTTTTCCGTGCCATCTGAGAAGCGGTGAGATATGACGGCTCCTATCCCATACTCGGAGGCATCGGCTGCGACGACTATCTCCTTGGAGGGGTCGTAATGGGTGAGCAGCAAATCCGATGATAGAACCTCTTTGGCGCGGTCGAAGGCCTGCTGACAGTCGCTTGACCATTTGTACGGCACGTCCTTCTTGAGCAGCTTATCCAGTGGTGCGCGGAGTTGGCGCATTTCCATGACGAAGGCTCCGTAATAATTTAGGAGTCCCAGGAATGATCGTAGTTGTCCGATGTCTTTTGGTGGTGGCATCTTCTTGATGACTTCCGTTTTGGCAGGATCCGGGTGACGTCCATTCGCATCGATGATGTTGCCCAGATAGCGAATCTGAGGCATAAGGAAGCTGCACTTTTCGATGCGGACGCGGAAGCACGAATCTGGAATTCCGTTTCGAAATTAGGGTTCAATGTTTGCGGTTGTGCACTCCTCCATAGTGCGGCCGAGTAACTATGTACGTTTCGTCACAAGGAAGCGGCACATTCCGTCCAGTCCAGCGATCATGGAGTCCATGATCTGTTGAAAGATTCCCGGGGCCGATTTCACTCCGAACGGTAGACGGTTGAAGCTGAATAGTCCTCTGTGCGTGTTGATCGTCAGAAGTTCCTTCGAAGCTTCATCGACTTCCACCTGCAAGTAGGCATCAGCGAAATCGATCTGGGTGAATACCGTTCCACCGTTCAGCTTAGTGAAGACATCGTCCGGCGTGGGCAGTGGGTGCTGGTGCAGCATCAGCGCGTCGTTGAGGCCAGTTGAATAATCGGCGCATAAGCGAAGGGTTCCATTTGCCTTCTTCACCACGACGACAGGTGCAGCCCACTTTGAATAGGTGACGGGAGAGAGCACGTCCTCTGCCAGTAGACGGTCAATTTCCTTGTCGAGAGCGGCCACATTAGCGTACGGTACCGGCCGTTTCTTCTTGAATACAGGAATGGCGTCGGCTCTCAACTTCAGCGTTGCCTTAGTCGTCGTACAGCGTCCGAGACCAGGTTCGAAGACGGTTGCAAACCTCGTCTTCAGCTTGGCAACGATGGCATCTCGGTAGGAGGAAACGTGGTCCACGACGATCGTCCGATGGATCTGGTACTTCCTGACGGCTTTGTAAAGGTCCGGTAGTTGCTTGATCCATGGCATCCCGAAAACGTTGCAGTTGTCTTCGGTTACGTAGCAAGTTCCACGTCCAGGGAGTAGTCCTCCAGATGAATCGCTGACCGTGAAGTCTGTTTCGAAGCATCCACGAAACTTGAGTGGGGATCCATTTGCTGCGTATCCAGTCACATCCGTCTTCTGGAAGCGAGGGGTGCACGAGTAGCTTCCATTTGGCTTCAGAGACTATGGTGACTTCCGCTCCCGTGTCGAGTAGAAGCGTAGTTGGATATCCGTTTATGATCACGTCCAGGTGTGGGTGGTCATCCCTCTTGAGAGCGGCTATCACGTTGATTGATTGGAGCTTGGCGTGTCTAAAGGTGGGCTTAATACATAACGAAAACAAAAAAACGTAGAGCCAAGTAGGGCCGATGAGTGGCTTTTGTGTAATATATGTAATATATGAAGTAATTCATGGTATACATTCAAATCCCGGCCGTACATCTGTCACAAATGTTGGGAACGCTAACACTTGCTTCCTGGAGTGCCCTCACCAGGAACTCTTTTTGGCTAATAACCTTTAGCAGAAACAATTCACTTTTCCACTGCGTCCTATTCCGATCGTTTTGTATCTGTTATCCTTATTCTGATGTTTCGGTTCGATTCTTTAATTGCATCGACTAACACTTACCTGCCCCAGAGCTCTCCTTTTCCCATGCGCCCCTATAGCTCCGCCCCATCTACCGGGGACCGTCCTCAGAATGTGGCTTTCCTAGATTTGTTTTCTTCGTAAACTTAATCTTCGCGATAGTTGATACAATTGACATTTTCATATTGGGAATGATGAAATAAATTTTCGAGGAAGATTCCTTTAATCCGTTTCTTATTGTTCCGAACTTACAGTATTACGTTTCAAAAATCTTCTTCTTTATGGAAAGGTTCTGGATCGCTTTTCTTCCCTGAAAGTCCGAATTAATTCACGATTTGTTGAGCAAAAGACTGTTGCCGGTTCTCATTATACTGATGGCGGTGAAGAAACTTGATTTTCGTGCTCATTCGTTTGACAGCAACTTGCCTTTTGTTGAAAACCAAAAAGTACTGAATTTTTTGATTTAATATATGACTCATGATATTTATGGCGTGATACACTCCCATTTTTGAAATCCCACAGTTTTTTTTCGATTCTGCCTATCCACTTTGTTTGGTTTTGATCAGTCCTCAATAATCGCTTCAGCGTGATCATTCAGCCCTCAGATGCGCACTATATGGCACTGGCTATTCATATCTATTACTGGACTGCTAACCCATGCTTCGTCTGAGTTCGAGTTGAAGGACCACGACTTTGTGGTACGGTTTTCCTAAAATCAATTGGTTCTGCTATTTTGAAGTGTTTACCGTTAAAGGTTTGAGTACAGTGGAAAACAAGCAACTGATTAACTTCAGCAATTCGATCGATCTTCTCCTGATTACGAAACGATACTCACGCCTCGCGATTTTGAGCGAGCTGAGCAACTGGGTAATGGACCTCATTACAACAAGTATGACACCGATGATCCTGATGCTATGTACAAAAAGGACCTATTCGAGGGAGACATTGCCAATGAAAACGCGAGTTTTTCTTGTTTTCTACAGTTTTTACAAAATAATTGTGATTAGCCTGGGCTTGCTCTGACCTAAAGGCACACTGCGCCATTAGATCATGAGTATAGGAGAAATTCGTCACACATTTCTGAAGCTGTTGGGCGCACGACTGCAGAATTGTTGTCACTTTCGCTATCAGAACACGCATGACTAAGAATCAAGGGGCTCAAAGCCACCATCATGGACACCCCATGCAATCACACACGCCCACCGTTAAACAACCTGCGTCTCGCTCATCTGCTACGCTCTCTCACTCCCTGTCTGTTCTCTCGTCTCAGCGCCTAGTGTCTGCACAACCCCTGTCCTTGCTTGTCTCACAAACTCGGGAATTCTTAAGGAAAATGGCCCTCAGGCAAACAGGTGAAGTGCACTCAAAGCTGAAAATGATAAGGCCTATTAAGTGAAGATTTACGCTTGAACCAGCTGCATCAGACCTCGTT